CTGGTGGCCAAGTTGTTGGGCTTAGCTTGAAACCCAGGTTAACCCAGAGAGTTGCGCTGGCTTTGGGTAAACTATGGGTGAGGGTATGAAACCCCTCCGGTCTTTGAAAGGGACTCGTTCGGTGGACAGGTGTCCCTTTCCCGGGGTTTATCCATTCATAAATGTCTGTGTCGGTGTGTTTGGAAGTCTTCTTCAGCCCACTCCATTCACTCCTGTGAATGTCCTTAAACAAAAGGAAGTGGGAATTGCTAAGAATTAATTTTTTAACTGCAGCAGCTTCTGCAAAATACTGTTCCTCTTCCTCTTCCTCTGTGTTTCTCAACCTCGGCAACTTTAAGATGTGTGGACTTCAACTCCCAGAATTCCCCAGCTGGCTGAATTGAAGTCCACACATCTTAAAGTTGCCGAGGTTGAGAAACTCTGGTCTAGGTGTTAGCCTTGATTCAGAAGGCAATTTTGAAGGTCTATGTGGCTTCCTACCATATTAATTATTGTTGAAATGGGTTATAAATGTCCAGAAGGAGTTGAAGTTTATTCTCCCAAGTTCCTTATTTTAAAAGCCTTTGCATTTTATGATGAGCTCCTGTCCCATTAAAGGGATGTGTTTGTGACTTACTCTCTTTTCCCCCTCTGATGCTTCCTGTCTGAAAAGCTTTGATCCACACAGCACGTGGATCAACAATTCTTCTTAGAATTGTCGTCTACACAATTCTGTGCAAGTCTGCTACAAATTCACATGACCTACTTGGCAAAAATAGAATTGAGAGTTTGTGGTTCTCAGAACCCAACAGCTGTCATAGCAGGTTGTATGGCTCAAACCATCACATTAATCCAGTGTTTCTCAACCTCAGCAACATTAAGATGTGTGGACTTCAACTCCCAGAATTCCCCAGCTAGGATGGCTAACTGGGGAATTCTGGGAGTTGAAATCCAAACATCTTAAAGTTGAGAAACACTGCATTAATCCCCCATTTCGACTTAGCATGTTATGTGAACGCCACCATTTTATTTGGTTAATCAGGGGTATACGTGTTATGTGAATGGAGCCATTGAGTCCCCAAGAACTTGCTATCTTGGTAAAACATCTTGAGTAAATTTAGGACACTGCAGTCAAAACTGATTGCAGCTTCAGTCTCCTTTTCCGCTTGGCTGCTGCTATTTCTTAAAAATAATATTTCATTTTCACAGATAAGAGACACCCCCCACCTCCTAAGCTGGCCTGAGGGATAACTAATCCTCCCTGTCATTTTTCTAATGGCCATATTTGAACCTTCTGAGAAAACTTCATATACTTCAGTTTACTTCAGTTTCAGGGGTTATATTAGACTGGGAAAGATTCAATTGAAGCAACAAACTGAATTCCTACATCATAGCAAATCATCGTTTATTTAGCGCAGTGGCTGGGTTTCATACAGAATGCTATTTTATAAACCATCCTTTTCAAACCACGTGAGCTGGGCTCATAGAAGACTAAGCAAAACTAGATATACAATATTTTGATTAATTAATTAATTAATTTCTAGGGTTGCATCCAGCCCTGGTCAACAAAGATTACAGCTGATCATAAAGATCAGGCAGTCAGAAAATTATTCTGGGAAATTTCCATTTCATGACCCAAACAGACTGCACCAGGGTGTCTGTGGAACAGCTCAATCTGAAGGAGATCTTATTTGGCTGATGGGGGTTGATCAAGCTGAGCATGTTCTACCCAGAGTTGCTGGGAGTCGGGTGGCATAGAAATCTAATAAATCATTATTATTTTGATGGTAGACCCCTGAGAAGTCCAGAACTGTAAGATAAATCTCAGAAGATGGCAGTGGTAGGCTGTTTTCATAGTGCTGCCATGAAAACTAGAAGGATGAGGCCATGGCATGGCAAGTTTAACTTGAAGTCAACTTGAGTTTACAACGTGTGGACCGGCCAACAAAAGGCACCTTTTGCGTGGAATTCTTGAGCATATCTAGTCTCCAAATGCAGCCCTTTCATAGCAGAAGATGGAAACTGGAACAGAATAAATTACCAATTACTGAACGCTCACTCCTTTCTAATAGCAAGGAAACCAAACCAAATTGTTTGACCAGAGTTCACTGGTTACATTCCTCATCTCCACTGGAAGCAAATTGAGTACTGGGAGATTTCTGGAGCTGTTAGCCCTCATTTCTGTGAAAAATATCAAGTTTAAAAAGGAAGTGCGTTTGTCTGAGTGTTTCCTTAGTTATTATCTGCCTCCGGCTTTCAGGTTCAGCAAGCAATGCTTTAATTAGAGGAGAAAACTCAAGCCGAGTCTTGGCAAAGCAGAAAGCGAAGCTTGTCCCCCAAATAAAACTTTTTCATTGGTTGATTTTGCCCCAGGTTCACAAAATGTTCTGAGTCCCAACACGGCTTGCTTGCTGATGGCTTAGCTTGGTTCAACAAACCGTGATTAAAGGACCAATGACATAGCAGGTGAACCTAACTCTTTTGGTGATTTTGTGCCTCTAAATAATGGATCGGTTGCTGAAAATTTCAGCTTGAAGAGATCTAGGGCTGCTCTGCACATAGGGCAGTGATTTGAAAGCCCAATCAGACTTGGCTGTCATGCCCAAAGATGCGATCTTAGACCAGTGTTTCTCCACCTTGACAACTTGAAGATGGGTGGACTACAGCTCCCAGAATTCCCCAGC